AGTCCATTTCCCCTTTGGTACAAGATAAATGGCCCAAGATTTTTTCTTTGTCAAGAGGTCAAGCAATTTGCTAATTCTAGAAGGGAAATTTTGTTTTGATAAGAGTGATCGGCAGCTCCGTTTGGAAAATTTAATGAAGAATGGAGGTGCGGAAAATGAAATATTTGGAAGAAACCTAGTTGTTGGTATGGGCGGTATAGGAAGTATAACTCCCCAAAACTGCTATTGTTCATTAAAAATATTATGTCGATCCGTTTTCAAAGGTATGCCTCTTATACATTAATCTTGCAAATTATCTGAAAATGACGAAAATGAAACTACTGATTTTCTTTTCATTTGTAAATCGGGTTATGGCACGAGTAATTTTGGAATATGGTGTATAGTATTCGTTGATTTTGTAAAATCATTGCATCTGTTTGTAAAGACTGGTGCCATTCTCCTATCAAGACTTTCAGTATTCTGATTTGGCCCAAATTGATTTTAACATTTGCACTTATCTTAGATTATATTAACTAGCTTATGAATTATGCTTTTAAGTAATGTTTGATTACCTTATTTAATGTATAAAGTGGAAAATAGTAGTTGTTGGGAAGCTAATACCAATTCCCATTCTCTTTGCAGCATATATAAGCAACTCGACTATGGGGAAGAAACTCGTTAGAGTAGCAATATAAAGTGTTTCACCACTTCCAAAAAGAGTAGATAGCAATATAAATAGACTCAAACTTTCCATGGAAAAGAAGTCGTGAACAACAACTTGAGATCTTGCCTCAATTTACAAGTATTATCAAAATCTCAAGTCATATGCTTCCTCCATCATTACCATATAAAAGAAGGTTATCGTATGTTAAGGTTCTGTTTGTTGGATACCAATATCGATAAGTATTTATTTACTACGGGAAGAAATGTCGAGTAATTTCTAAAGAGGATAGAAAATGAATATCATCGTGTGTTATACAATAGTATGGTACAGATATATTGCAAGCAGTAAAGATTCTATTGTCTTGGTGAGGAGTTGTAATGGTGGTTTGGGGAAATTTCTAAAAGTCACAAGCCCTTTGCAAATTGAATTTGCCAAGTTTTCTTGATGGTGATTTAATGATCTTGGAAAAGAACCCTACAACAACTTCACCACGATAATCTTCAGACATCGTATTTACAAGAATGGTGTACGTCTTTTTAATTTCCCGGCTTCTAAGAAGGTGGCTGCGGTTGGAGGCGGAAACGACGCTGTAAATCCATGTTGAACATGTACTGTTGTTTCTTATTTTCCTTTTTATGGAAATGCCATTGGTGTATATTTGAATATTGCATTTTATAGGTTTCCATTTAAAGCTTACCCTAGAGTGGTGCATTTTCGCCTTAGTAGGTAGGTCGACCTTTGCTTTAGTCGATTGATCTACTTCCTCCGCTTGTTGTACCCAACACGAATTCTGCAGAAAGCACAGTTGAGAGAAGTTCCAATAGAGCTGTCAAAAGGCTCGAGCTTACGACTTCTGACAACAAGAAAACCTTATAACAATTGCAACTCGGATCAAACTTCTGAAGTTGGATTCACACACATCCTTAAAGTATATTAATCTTCTTTTGGTTTCTCAGTGTGGTACATAATTCTTATGAACATACAAATCTCGATAAACTGGTTCATTGCTAAGTTCTGTGAACTTAAGTGAAGTCGTAACTAGCCATGCTAGAAGGTGCGACTGGATCACCTCATTTCAGGGAGCGCTAATGCTAGCATCACATGACCAAAAATTTGATATTACACATGGTTATCATATAATTTTGTGAAATTAAGCCAATTGCTAGGCAGAATAACAGAACCATTGCTCCTTGTATATTTCTTCCTTGTGTATCCAAGTTCACTGTAGAAGACACCAACGTCTCCCAAATCTTGCAGAAGAGAATCAGCGATTGAGTTAAAATCGATGGCACTGACTTTTGAGCATCTGAAATCGACACGAGTTTGCTTATCATACTGATCAAACAAAGCCAATCACCTAGGTGTACCTAGAGTAGAGTATGGTAGGTATGCGTATCACACCTACTCATGTCAATGTTTAAAAAGAATGAATTGGGTATTGGAGCAATTTGTATTCATGAATAGAGGCATAGGATTCACGACATTGGACGTGCAAGTTCTTGAGCATCCAAATTTGGATCAACATCGGCAAAAAAAATCTCTAAATAAGGTTCTAACACCATAAAATTATTTGTGTCCGAACAAGGAGCAAAATAAACGAAGCATGTTCAAAAGTATGGACTGCTACAAAAAAAAAACACAATCGAATTTCAAAGTAGTAAAATCTAATTCAAAAATTTTACACGTGTCGAAACAAATCAATAGAATAATTCTAAATAGTACATAAGCTCCATACAAATCATATATAAAAATTCATAATGGAAACGGTAACAACATTTAAAAGGACTGTGCTGGAAGTACAGGAATTCCTGCCAGAGAACACACAATGGGGGGTGGGTGGGAGAGGTATTGCCAATTTTTTATTCACATGGGGCCCATTCCCATGTGAGACAATTTCAAAAATCTGTGTCAAATCCTGTAAAATTTTGCCTGTACTCACAACTTTATCCTATTTAAAATCTAATTCGCAAATAAACATAAAATAGACCAATAGCTACTAATCTAAGGAGATTGACTGTCCGAAGAATTTGACTCCTTGATTCAATTTTTTATCATACTATATTTGAGTTAAAAGTCTTTTTCTTTATAATGGGTTATTAATTATAAAGACACAAAATAGAGAATGGAGTAGAGAAATTTTAATGTAATTGTTGTTGGAAAATTCTAACATATATAGGGCCATACGTAATATATTAAAATGTGTGGTACTATTATTTAAAAAATATTAGTCAATTAAAGTGATTCAATAAAGATGAATTTTGACTAATGGGTATTAGATTTCATGGAATTTAAGTGTAGAGATCGAAATTTTGTTGTATGGGGTTATGGTCCCCAATTGTTGGTGTATTCTTGTGATTCTCTACATCCCTATCAATAGAGAGCAAAATTGAAGTGAAGACCACCAATTAATTGGAATATCCTAATCCATCCAGACAAAGAATCAGATTACTATGGATATATGTATATTTTATGTTTTGTTATTTTCTCGAATTTCAACATGGAGATGAATCTAGAATTTATTATATGAGAAAATAAATTGATTAAAGCATATATGGATCTATAATCCCTTTCTTTCATTTTCTATCAATTGTTCGAGAGAATCGAATGGTTTTGAATGATTTTTTTCATTACTTTTCTAAGGGCGTGTTTGATGTAAACTTAAAATAAATTTTGAGAAAATAATTTATTTGAAAAGTTTATGATTGAAAAATAGAAAAAATTATGAATTCAGATATAAAATTATTTTACTAAGAGAACGTGCTTTCTAAAGAGTTAGGTGAAATTTTAGACTTTAGTTCCAAACCCTAAAATCCGAAGTCCTCACGAAAGTCGAATCAACTTCACAAAGCGACACGTCATACCAACTTATCTTCTCAGCGACAGCTCTCCACCGTTAAATCCCAACCGTACCCATCTTCAATCTATCTCCAAGGACTTCAAAACTTTCCAAGGCCGTGTGTACCGTTATCCACCAACAATGGCGGCATGCACAGCTACAGCTTCAACTGCTGTTCTTCTACCCTCCAATCCCAATTCAAAGGCCTACATTTCCCCCAAATCCATTTCCATTCCCTCTTCATTCCCAGGACTCCGCAACCCACTTGTTTCTCATGCCCCTGCCTCCCTCTTCTCTCGCCCTTCTCATAACACACGATGCAGTTGCGCTGTGCGAGCTGTAAGTATTTGTTTAGTATTCATTTTTTGTGATGATATTGAAAATGGTAGCGGTGAACTTGCGATTTTTTTTTTTCAATTTAATTTTCTTCTGGTTTCAAAATACTTCTAAAATCGATGTCAGTAAATAAATTTACTTTTTTCGCATAATATTTATAAATTAGAATTAACTAAGAACTTTTCTTGTTCTCATCTTGGCTCTCTGTAAAGGAATCTGTGAACTGAATTTCATTTTCAGCTTGTTGTCCTTTATTTAAATTGGACCTAAATTTCGTGTCTTAAATCAAGTTGAAAAACATGAAAATGAAAGGTAAATAATGCAATTGCAGTTTTGGACTAGCTGTATTAGTCTTTTCAGTTCTCTCGCTCGCTTTTGGTTATTAGATAAGTTCATTGGTTTTATGCTCCAGCTGTGTGAACTGCCACTTGTTGGAAATCAAGCTCCAGACTTCGAGGCAGAGGCTGTTTTTGACCAGGAATTTATCAAGGTAATTTTCTGAAGAAATATTTTATATATTTTTGTTTGTATTTCCCAATATCATGCATTGTTCAATATAACTTATTCCTTGGGTGTTTATTTGTCTTGTATCTGTGGAGTTGGAGAATCACTGTTATTTTAACACTTTGAACAAAGTGCTTCAAAAGAATAGAACTCTGACTTGTTGATTGTAGAAGTTTGGTATAAATTCTGTATGTACGCATTTACTCCTCTCCCTCCCCGCATCTCTCACTGACACACTCTCATGCACTCATTCTTTAATTTTATCTATGATATTCTATTGTGCATTTGCTCGGCATGGGTGTTGCTAGCTTTATAGACAGCATTTTTGTAACAGGTACTGTTTTTCTGCCTGCAGGTTAAACTTTCCGAGTATATAGGGAAAAAATATGTTATTCTATTTTTTTACCCACTGGACTTCACGTTTGTTTGTCCCACAGGTGAATTGACTTTTAACTATATTGTCTCCACTTAATTTACTACCTGATGGATGCTGATGATACCACTCGTATGTCTGCCTTATTTTGTTTTCAGAAATCACTGCTTTCAGTGACCGTTATGAAGAATTTCAGAAATTGAACACAGAAATATTGGGTGTCTCGATAGACAGTGTGGTATGTTGCTTTATGAATTTAAAACTGGTTGAAATTTTTTGTGTTTCCTACTCTTCAACTTTCTGTTTTGTGTCGTTGCTCATGAATAGCTACAGTGGTGTATGTTTGTATTTTCTATGTTTAACTGTTACACACAGTTCACTTTAATATGCTTTCTTATCTTAACTTTTTATTGGAATGCAATCTTTTTAAGGGTTTCCTTCTGTTTGAGGAAATATGATTTCCAATGAGAAGATTTTGCCACAAAAAGTAAAAAGAAATATTACTGTTAAATACAAGAGCTGTGCTCCTTTGCATCCCTTGCTTCCATCCTTTCTTTTTCTCTCTTTTCCTGTGATATGCTTGATCTGCTAGCCTACTTCATTTCAAATTCCTTGGTGCGGTTATTGATGACATTTAAAGTTAAATCCCAACATATTGTTGTTCTAGACCTACGGACGAAGATATTTTTGAAGACCTGGAGACTAAGATTGTTTTAGAACTTTTGTATCAAGTGAAGTCTAAGTACAACCTGATGAAGAAGGAAGGAAATTATATTTCCTTTTAGATTCTGTCCCATCGCTCCGCTCTGCCCAGTGCCCACTCCAACTATTGGAATTTCTTTCTGAAACATGCCCATTTGATAATTTTCTCTCACCCGATGAGTCACCATGAGTCTTTACTACTTATTTCTGTTACCATGTTTTATCAATGCTTATGTCAACTAATAATGTGCTCTGTCAACTGTCATTTCCTGTAGTACCGCTTGGAATGTGTTGGGTTCAATCATATTGTGTTATTAATTTCGTTTTGTTTGATTTGCTGGTTGTCTTTGTTCTCTTTTTTGTCATCTCTCTTATTATTGACTTTTTTGGACGGAAGATTTTCTCCTAATTTAGTATTTACATTAGCTAAAAGTTTACCGCAATGGGAAGGTGACTTTTATAATTTTTGAAGAAATTTTTGGCTTCTATGCAGTCAGAATATTTTGGTCTTATGCACTTTCCAATGTTAGCTTTCTCGTATTAGCATTGATTAGTCTTTTTGAATCTTGATTTCATATTTTTACATTGTATTGACTTATGCTTGACCATCTGCAGTTTTCCCACCTTGCATGGGTCCAAACAGACAGAAAATCTGGGGGTTTGGGTGATTTGAACTATCCATTAGTTTCTGATGTGACCAAATCAATTTCTAAGTTATATAATGTGCTGATTCCAGATCAGGTACGTACTAAGATCCTGTTGGCATTTCAAAAGCCAATTAATCAACTTGGTTAAAGATATCACTACGATCTTCATGTTACCTTGCTATTCATTTCAACATCTGTGGTTATTGCTACTAATGCTGTCTACAATCTGTTGTAGCTGATATAATCAAAAATTATCTTTTGCTTGGTATAGAGCATATGGCTTGTTGTCTGGCCAAGTGTAAGAAGTAGAATATGAAAAATTCTCTTGGTGGCAATGAAAAGTGAACAAGAATGTTCCCGCGTTTCTATTTTAGTGCAAGTACCTGAAGTTAGTGTGTTAATTTCCTCTGTTAAAAATTGATATACTGTGTCTTTCTTTTCATCTCGCTTTGTGCTTAGGAGAAAAGGGCTCATGATATTCCTCCAACTAAAGACAGCACTAGAGGTAGCTTTGGAAATATAGAGAGCATTTATAAATGATGATAAATTTGATGATGCCCGTCCATCCAACTTACACTGGTTCACCGTGATGGAGAACTATTTGGATAAGATATCGACCTTTTTGTTGTAGAAAATTTGTGGAATCTTTACATTTATGAAATTTGTCTAAGCTTATATTTTTGAGCCTACCTCATAGTTGTAGCTAGAGGAATTCTACCTTATAAATTTCTGAGGGTCTAATATTCAGGAGAAAAAAACTATAATCAAAGATCTTATGTATATTGCTGTTTCAGGGAATTGCACTAAGAGGACTTTTTATCATTGACAAGGAGGGAGTTATCCAACACTCCACCATCAACAATCTTGCCATTGGCAGAAGTGTCGATGAAACATTGAGAACGCTCCAGGTAATATACATTATGTGCAATGTAATACTTATGGGGACAAACTTATGGGCTTTAGTTCCAGGCTTTTTACACTACCATAATCTAAAATAACTTTATTAGCAAAATATTTCAGTGATTTTTTTTTATTATATTAATTATTATTTAGTGCATTCAGTTAGGATACAGTTTTCATCAAGTCTGGCTGTTTCACTTAACATTGGCGGCGTACCATGTCAACAGACATCTTCACCCTAAATCTTAGCATAAATGGGATTATGGCAGGTTATTTTCACCAAGAAATGAACCGGAATGCAAACTAAATTTTAGCAATGAAATTTCTAAAACAACCCCGAGGTTTGGATTGCAAAATTCAAGGGGTATGCAGATTGTACGGGCTTATTTCATCTGCATAAACCATAATTCTTGTATATGCATTAAGGTGTACCTGTATATAAGGTAAAGCTATTGGTGGGGGATGCTAGTGGGTTTTTAAGTGGCTTGAAGTTTCTTGAAATCGCTTAAGCGGTTTCAGTTTGGCTTTCACGGGCATTTTTCCCTTTCCTATTCAAACTAGAATTCTCATCTTGTCTTAACTGCAACACTGGTTTCTCACAATATGGTGATGAATTTGAAAAAGTCTCCAACTAAGGAACAAAATGAACAGTCATAGTGGGCAATATCTCGTTGATAGATCGTATTTCAGCATCTGTAACTTTCTGCTCTTCTTGTTCAAATTTTATGAGAGCGCTCTTTCCCGGAAAAGGAAGACTGCACCAATGGGAGCTTCTTTTGGTGTTTCTGGGAGACAAGTTGTAGGAATTGAGAAATCAATTCCAGAGTCAGATGCTAAACTGAGCAGCATGTACTTAACAGTAAAATCTGGATGTTAGATGGCCAGCCCAGTGGGAACATCATGGAATTTTACACAAAACAAGTTGGCAAACTGATTAAACACCCCATATTTCACATACTCTTTTCACGTTGCTTGTGCAATGATAGAAGCCGTTTATGGTCACTCTTGGTAAACGTTACCTACATGTGTGCATTTTAGATCAATATGCTAATGTGTTCTTTTAATGCTACTTGGTGTAGGCATTGCAATATGTTCAGGAGAACCCAGATGAAGTATGCCCGGCTGGATGGAAACCTGGGGACAAGTCTATGAAACCAGACCCCAAACTCAGCAAGGATTACTTTGCTCAAATATAAACTGGATTGGACCCGTGATCACTGTGTCATTTGCCATTAGGTTGTAATAGGTTTTGTTGTTGCGCAATTTGTGATGTCTATGTTGAGTGACCATTTTAATTTCGACGCACGAAGTGTTTAATAAATGCTGATACCTGGCAATATTCTTACTCTGATTTCTTGTTCTCTCTCTCCTAGTTGTGCAACTAGACGATATTTCATGAACAGCATCAAAAGGCAATCCATTTTCTTAATTCAGAATAAATAGATTTTTGTCAAAAACTTTTCCAGTTTACTGTTATTTAATTATCAACTATTAGTAGTAGATTGAGAAAAAATATTTATAATTGGACAAATTAAATAGAGGTATATTACTAAACAAGTAAAACAAAATATTCTCCATAAAGAAACATGATTATATAATTCAGACAAGAAAATAAGGAAAGTCAATCTATATAAATGAGACGAAGTGAGTACTAAACAAGATTAGACAATAGAATAGATTCGATTTTAATATTTCCCTTGTCTTTCTTCACATGGTCTAATATTGATTACCAAATTCACACTTGGCAGATTATGATTGGCCAAGTGAAGTTCAAAAATTAAAAAAAAAAAAGTTCCTTTCTACAACATTTGAAGTTTAAATTTCACAGGTTTTTGAAACCTAAATGCACGATAGAAAGTTACACAAAATTAAATGCAATTATATAATAATAATAATAATAATAATAATACATGTAATATTCAAGTTTTTTAAAATCGTGGTGCGTCCTCTGAAAATAAAAGAAATAATAACAAATTATATATTATTTTTATGAAATTTAAAATCAATTATATTATCCATTATTTGTTACTCTATTTGAGCCTATTAATTAAAGAAAATAAAATAACTAAGAGATCTCATGTGGATCACAAGACATTCAAAGATATGCAAATTGAGAAACAATTGAACAAGCTAGATAGCTCACATGTACAATACTGTTATATCATATGACTTTATTTGATGAGTGATTAACAACCAACACTTTCCACTAAATGTTATATTAGGTCTGTTTGATTGTAAGAGTAGAACTTGGGTTTTAAAAAAATGAATTTCAGGGAATTGAATTGTCTAAAATTGTTTTCTTGAGAATTGTCAATTAATTGTGTTTGATTGGTATAATTTTTTATGTAAAAAATATTCAAATTTTGGATTTTTTGGTGTTCATTTACCTTTATTTTTTTATGGAAATTGTCCATTAAAGGAAATTTTTTTTTTACAACTGGTGATAAAATTTGTGTCCATTGCCTAGAGATGTCAATGGGCCGAGCCGAGCCGGCTACGTCCTTAAACCCACGAACTCGGCTCGGCTTGTGAAGAAACGAGCTCGTGAGCTCACGAGTCGAGCTGACTCTGTTTATGGCTCGTCAAATTTTTTTTTTTAGTTTTTCTTAGCTTTTTTTTTAGTGTTTTTTTCAAGAGCCCACGAGCCGGCTCAGCTCGATTGCTACCACTACCATTGCCAAAATAAAAAAAACCTGGAAACAATTTTCCCACCTAAATGGTTTCCTTCATTTCCTTCAATTGGTGCACGTGTGGGGGTGGGTTGAATTAGTGTGCTCGGCTCGATTGCCATCACTACCAAATTTTTTTAGTGTTTTTTTCAAGAGCCCACGAGCCAACGAGCCGGCTCAGCTCGATTGCTACCACTACCATTGCCAAAATAAAAAAAACCTGGAAACAATTTTCCCACCTAAATGGTTTCCTTCAATTGGTGCACGTGTGGGGGTGGGTGGAATTAGTGGGCTCGGCTTGATTGCCATCACTACCATTGCAAAAAAAAACCTGGAAACTATTTTCCCACCTAAATGGTTTCCTTCATTTCCTCCAATTAGTGCACGTGTGGGGGTGGGTGGAATTAGTTTTCCATGGCAAACAAAACCCATCAAACAACCATTTCCATGGAAAAAAAAGGCTATCAAACATAGTCTAAAGATTAGGGCTCTCGTCTTTTTTAATTAATATAATATGCTAGCATTGTATTTGTATGTTGAATTTCCATCATGAAGAATCTCCATGAGGTCAAATCTTTCTGTAGGACTATACTCATAGAGGTTTCTCCGATCACTCAAGCTATTACCAACTCGTAGAATAATTATTAATTATTCAAGAGATGACTTTTCAATTCTTATATATTGGAGACCAGAACCAAGAACAACATTCTATCTTATCTTACTGTCGTTTAATAGATTACCTTCGCAAAATCCAATTTGTGCCACCAACATCAGAACTAACATGTTTGATTAAGGGCACCGCACCGGCACATTATGTCTCGTTTGTACTATATTAATGAAGTATTGTTAGTGCAAAATTTTGAGTTGTACTAGAATTAATAAAATAAACATCGCGTGCAATATATTAATTAAGGTGTATTAAATAATTACTGTATAATATATCATGTTGCAACAAACAACATTGAAAATTCTTCACCGCCATTGTTGGGGCCGTTGCTACCTCCAACCACAATAGTTGATTTATGGAGCATAGCTAGCTGCCTCCATAGGCGACTATTTTTTTGAATTTAAATGGTTAGAATGAGATACGTTACTTACATAAACCTAGTTTTTAATATGGCTCTTTGTGTACAAGGTAAATTCATATTTTTCGTAAGGCTCGAAAGTACAATTTTTTATAAAAGAGTAACTGTGGAACTTGAACTCACAACTCCTCAAATAAAAAATTTAGATAATAAGAGAGAAGATTTATTTATTTAAATTTAATGTATAACATCTCCACAGACGTGGACAGCTCCAACCACTAGGGCTGGACATGGTCCGATTTGGTTCGACTGAACCAAAATTTTCGAGTATTTAATAAATGGAGCTGTCTGGTCCAAATATAATTATGGAACCGTTCGGGTTTGGTTCAGTTCAATTCCGTAATTAAAATTTTTAACAGATTTCTAATGGTCAACAATCGGTGGTCATGGTCAGATGTCGTAACTTCGATGGGCAGATGGAGAGGGGAAGTTGGAGTCGACAGTCGACGACTTCGATTTGGGCATGTAGATATAGGTTTTCAATTTATCAAATGATTTGAGGTCAGTGACTCAGTGGTTATCGAATAAAAGTGTGAAATTTGAAAGAGAAGGATAAAAACTTAAAAACGCCCAGATCTTAGGCTAAAAATGAAATTAACAATTGGGCAAAAAAATTAAATCAAAAATTGAATTTAGATATTGAATTGGGTTGGGCTAGCTGGGCATGGACTTGACTTGGGAGTTAGACATTACTCACTAAATCAGTTAATGAGTTAATTTGTTTTAAAAAATTAAAATAATTTAATTAATTCAATATAAAAAATTTTAAAAATTATTTAAATTCTTCTTATTCGGTTCTGGGTCTAGAACCGAACCAAATAGTCAATTCTCGATTCAAATACCCGTTCGGATATTTAATTTATGAGATCAGTTTGGATCCGGTTCGGTTCGGGAGTTTTGTCCAGCCCTATTGACCACCAAGCATACATGCATGTGTATTTAGATATTTTAACCATTTGAAAATACACAAACCAACTTTCGGATTTCCCAAAAATTCAGGACCAACTTGCAAACTTCAGAAAATTTAGGGACATAATTAGATAAGACTGAAATGTTAAGGGCTTGTTCGAGAAGTGGAATGAAGATCAACTCAATAGGAGTCAGGACTATCGTGGTGCCAGTTTTTAGTGCAGCTGGCCTGGGTGAGGTAGTTGAGGGCATTGTTGGAGCGTTGACCCTAGACTTGGTTCTGGAAAGACTTTGCACAAAATTTCGATCTAGCAATTAATTGACACTGATTTAAACAATATCTGATTGGATATGAAAGGTGAGAACATAGTGGCTATTCCGCACTCTACAATGAATGTGGCAAGTGCGAGTGAGGTGAGAGCGGAGGTGCCACCTTTGTGTTCAAGCACAAGGGAGTACGCCGAGGATGCTTTTGGTTAGCCCCTATTTGGTTTTAATTAAAATCAATTGTTTATTTATTTATATATTTATTTTTATAGATTTTGATAAAAAGTTGATTAAATACGTGGTTGAAAAGTTTATTAAAGTTCTGGATTCCAACAAATATGTGGTCAAAAATGAGTTCGAGAAAAAATGAATTTAACAAAAAAGTATCAAACATGAACTTAATATCATGTAGACTGGAACGAAGATATGAGTTTTTTCATGTTGGGGGACTATAATAAATTCGCAAAATCTCCTTCACGTAGTGGGCCTGAAAGTGATCGAGGGCAAAATAACAATTTCACTCGACGTATGAGACGAGGAGTATGTCTAAGACGAAGGAAGTGTAAAATTTTTATTTCTTACGTTATATTCCCCAAATGGAGCAAGTTCAATTGTTTGCACCTTTAGCTAGGGAGATCAAGACGATGCCCTTTCCTAAGTATGTACTAGGTTTTATCTTCGTTTGTTAATAAAATACACCACAATTAATGGTTAAAAAAAAACCCACCAACCATGCCCAGAAACTATACAACGAAATCTTTTATGATTCACAGGCAACAAAATTATAAGCAACAAATACTGCACTAATAAGATGCAAAAATTTAAGTATTTGGAGAATTTGTTTTCAATATTTTGCTTTTCTTGTAACTAAAATACAGGTAATACTTTAGTTTGTCTTTGCAAATACACAAAATATGGACATAATCAATAGAGATGAATGGTTAGATAAAATGAATTCCTTCATATGGATCCACAAAAAAGGTTACATATTTTTACCCATAGTTGTGTATATTAAGCTTTGTTACCCCAAAATACAAGAAGTTGTTCCTGTGCTGCATGTTCTGTGCCAGAATACAGTCATATTTACTGGAAATTCTAAACCCCAAAAAATTCCATACTGTTCCGGGCGTGTTACGAAGGAACTCCGGGGTCGGGATCTGGATCGGGTACATAATTTAGTCTTCCCACTTCTTCCCATATCAATTTGGATGTCACTTCATCATACTCTGGAATATATTCCTGAAATACAAAATCGAGAATAAGA